ACAACCTGCAAAGCGGATAAATTCAGAAAGCGGAGCCAGGTTTCTTGCTCTTCGACATTTCTGTGCAGTGCTGCACATAGGGAGAGCGTCCCAGGAGAAATGGCAACTCTCCCTACGGCCCACGCCTTCGGGGTAGCGGCCGCCGGACGGTCGTGTCAGATGCTTTCGGCTTCAAAGTCCCCCGGGAGGGCAATGCTGGGAGCGTGGCCTGCCACGTATGAGTTATGAGGATGGAAAGCTGGAATTTTTTACCAGGCCTTCCCCTGAAAAGACCCTGGAAGATCTACATTCGTACTAATGAGAGCAGGGGCGAGTTACTGCTTGACTCAACACTCAAGGGCAACCAACTGAAACGGCACTCGATTATAGACACATGGAGATGAATTCACCCCGAGGATAGCTCAGTTGTCACTGATGCGTCCATCCTCCCAGACAGCCATTGCTGAAGACAAAGCAATTAGAGACTCCTTCATCCCACCCGGAGCTGGCAGCCATTTCGACAAGGGGAAGGGAAAAGAAATGAAGCGGCAATGCCGAGAGGAAGACTCTCCCCAGCCTCGCCTGCCAGCGGGGATGTTCAGGCTGGCACTTGGATGGAAGAGGCAAAACCCAAGCCTTCAGCTCCAATTAGAGTCCCCCCGGGACACAGCGGGGCCGCCAGAAAGTTGCTTCACTTCTGTGCTCGTGGGGCTAAGTTTCCACTGGAAAGAAACGAAACGTCCATGGGACCGAAAGTCCAGCTGGGCCGAGCAAACTCGTGCGGACAGGCAGATGGATGGGCAAACAGATGCACTAGGGCTGGATAAATCACTGGTGCGCAGGGGTCGACTGCTGCCTGCAAGCCAGCTGTGCCAGGCTACAAGGCACATGCCGCTCGCAGCTCTGCGCTGCAAGATGTCTCTGGAAACCGCGTGAGCTGCAGCTCCGGGTGGGTCCCGGGGACACCCCAAGCTGTTTTTACGTGGGTCCATCAGTCCTCCCGGCGTGTTTTCAATTCAGAGGCAAGACGCCCCTGACACTTCGAGTGATGCTCCTGGATTGAACGCTCGAGATTGCAGGTGCCAGGCTGGACAATAGGGATGGTTTGGAAAACGCGGATCAATGAAACGCGACATGAATGGGAGCACCAGAGGAATCCGCTTGCATGTCCACGGATGAAAGGTCAGCATGAGCGGAGGGGAGCCAGGCTGCCATAAATGTCTGCAAAGCATTACTGCTGCCCTTCTGAAACGAGACGTGTGATGGATGGATGGAAACTCTGCCTGGGCTCGGCATGGCAGGCCGGGTGTGAATCATTTGCAAAGGGCTGGAAACCGTTCTGGCGCTGTCATTTCCTGCCATTCCCAGCTGAATCAGGCACGGAGCTGCCTTCCTTCTTAACGAGCCTCAACTGTGGGGCTGCTCCTGCCAAGCTGTTACTTAAGGGGGGCAGGGGATGTTCTCACCCATGCCACTGTGCATTCGAGACCAGGGAGTTTGCCCATCTCCCCGTGCCCCCGCCTCCGCATTTCCGATGCCAGACCAGGCCTGTGCAGTCAAGCCCCTACTCTTGGACCTGCCTATACTGCAGCGTTGCTTCAAACTTCTGATGCCACAAGCCAGAGCTGCCCCTTCGTGCGTCAGGAGAGGCAGACCTTCCCCCATTGAAGTCGAGAGCATACGCTCCAGCTCCCACGGACAGGATTTCTGCAGATGCCGGGGCTGCTCCTCATTGCACGAGCATCCGGTGCAAAGCCAGAGGCCGGATCCCTATGGACTCCCACGCAGCCAGGGCGTCAGAGGCAGCTTCCAGCCTTGCAGGGAGCCAGCACAGACAGGCGAAGTTAGCAAGAGGTGTGACACCACCTCGGCCCTGCTGCGCGGGGAGACGAATCATGTTTGCGAGTGGTGGCTGGGAGACATCACTCCTTCAGGCGTGGTGCATCTTCCAGGGGAGCTGGAAGACTTGCCCTGAGTTATCTCCACTCGGTGCTTATTCATTATGTTGAATCACAGCCTCCCGAAGGGCAGGGAGCTCCACTCCAGAAAGGACGGGGTGCTGGCAGTGAAATGCTACGCTCTTGCCCTGCTGTCCCAGCCAAAACCTACTTCCACCAAAGTCCAGAGCATAAACTTCCCTGAGTCCCAACAGGGAAAAGCACTGGGCCTTTGGGTGTCTGCCAAGGTGGGAAGGCAGGTGCTGGCTGGCAGGGGCTTTCTGGAAGAGCTCGTTCTGACCAGAGCCCATTTCCAAACACTTGTGAAATTAACTGTGCAAGATTTATTTCCCATAGGCCAAGGAGGTCCAGGAAGCCGTCCGTTCCACGAGCCAACGTGGTGATTCCCAAACAGCATCCCTCCTATACGCCAGCTTGGTCTGGACCACACTGACATGCCCCCAATGACGCCCAGCTTGCCGCTTTCCTGACAACATATCTGCCGCTGAGCTCCTATGGGCAGAAATGAATTGGGTCTAGAAAGGAAAGTTACTGAAGCTATTGTAACCGCTCCTTGGACAGCAAGGAAGTCGGGTGCATATGTTAGAAATGATGCAGGTCATGATAGGCATAGAAATAGCCTTGCTACAATAAACTGCTGAAAAGCCTCCTGGTGCTATTGCGATGAGAGATGCCAAAGGGGGTGTTAGTCTAAAAGCTCAGCGGTGAGCTCAAAGGCCACTCGGATGTGGTGCGATAACACTCTTTTTCTTTAAAATAGCTTCTGTCAGCCAACGTCTTGGTCTGCTATCGGCAAGCCCTGCTTTGGAGAGGCCTGGGGTGCAAAAGCACAGACCAGACTCTAGCAAACCATAAGCAGCGGGCTTGCAAAGGGTTTTCTAACAGCTGTCGCTTGAAAATGCACGTCTGCTTTGCAGGCCCAGAGGGCACGACTGCATATGCAGGTCTGCAAACCAGAACTGGCCCTTTTGCACACGCAGCTGCTGGATGTGCGTGCATCAAATGCACGTTCAAGTTAGACTCTCGCGTCCATGTTTGCCGAGCTGGACATGAGGGCACTGGAGGCAGCAGCAGGTGCTATTTGCAGTGACTTTCTGGAGTTGCATACGGCACCTTGTGTCCCCTTTGCCGGGTGCATCTGCAGTCAGATGCGATCCAGGACTCGGGCCCTTGCCCACTGCCTTTGCTCTCATCCTGCATCAGCAGCAGGGAAGGATGGTGACAATGAGCAAGCCGTGCAGCCAAACTCTGCTCTTCCCCCATCTAACAAGAGAGACCCCGACGGACTGGGATAATCACAGGAAACGGCGGATGGCAGCTGGTTACCAGGGAAGCCGTTTCTCTGGTGGAAGACAGGTACCCTCATGAGCTGGGGGCTGAGATAAGACCAGCACTGACGGCCTGTGAAGATGCAGCCAGCCGCCTCCCTTCTCCAAACTCAGACAGCTTCTGCTGTGGACAAATTGGAGAGAGTCCAGCGGACGGCAACGACAATGGCTTGGAGGCCGGGGGACAGGACCGGTGAGGAGAGGCCGAGGGAACTGGGCCGAGTGAGTCTAGAGAAGAGAAGACCGAGGGGGGATTGAATAGCGGCCTTTACCTCCCCGCAGGTGGTCCTGGGAAGAGGATGGAGCTGGGCTGGTGGCAGATGAGAGAACAAGGAGCAATGGGCTCCACTTGCAGCATCCCTGGAGCTGCAGGGAGAGGAGCTGGCGCAGGGAGGGGTTTGGCAGGAGAGGCCGCGGGGTTTGAGAAAGCATCGGGAGCCCTCTAGCGTGTGCCGTGCGGCTCCAGACGATGGAGCGAGAAGCCTGGAAAGACGACACAGGAAAGGGGAAATGAATCCTCCCCTGTGGAGCAGCTCGCACCCAGCCCCAAGCTGGCTCCAGCCCGTGGCAGGATGCCCAGCCTGCCCAGCCCCTCTGCCATGCACACGCAGGGGACAGGATTGGATCCTGCCCGGGGCACCCTTGCGTGAGCCCCACTTCTCCCGGGGGGGGCCCACTGGCTCCTGGAAGTGGCTGCGGCACGGATGGATGCTCAGGGGCCGTGGCGCAGGGGTGTCCCCATTCAGCAGAGGACAGCCCATGCCCAGCCCTGGTCCCTGCCCCGGGACAGCTCAGAACATGGAACTCGGGGCCCTTGTCACCTCACCTGTCACCCAGCAACTGCCGGGCCATAAGCCAGCGCAGCCCCAGGCCGCCGGCCTCGCCCACCTCCCTTTGCATCCCCACGCCAGGAGCCGGAGCAGGGCCCACAGGAGAGGCGGAAGAGCCTGGGAAGGTCGGTCAGACGCAGGGCAGCGCCCGGGCCCCAGTGCCGGAGCAGGGCCGGCCCTTCGCCCCGCGCTCAGGCAGGGGCGGCTCTGCCCTTGTGCGGAGGGCCGGATAGCAGGGGGGCGCCTGCAGGCTGGCACCGTGCGAGACCCTCCCTCCAAACCCGGTTCTGGGAGCCAGACTGGCGCTGGGGCCCCGCGCCCACCTGCGCGATGCTCAGCACCGCTAGCGCTGCGCGGACGCGCCGCCAGGCCCGTCTCCGCCAGGCTTTGCTCCAGCCCGG